TGTTTTTTTCTAGCTTTTATGACGAATTGCTATCACGTGGCATTTTACAGCCGTTGCTCAGTCCTATTGAAGGAATGGTACAAAAAGAAAAGGGAGTCCATAACTATGTGGCCCCTCAAGGGATTTCTTCTATTGTCAAACATTATCTTGTAGACTCAGGTACAGTATGGTGAAATCAGTTTTCATTTTCATTTTACTAATTCACTTTTCTCTTAGTTTGTAAACCTATTTGCTAGCAGTGTTACAACATTTCATATTTTGAATGCCTTAATAAATCACAACAAACATTAGACCATGAAGCCTTAAGTCATTAGAGCAGAAGTAGGCGATTCAGCCCATCGATTCAATTCCACCATTCATTGAGATCATGACTGGTCTGAAAATCCTCAACACAATTTTCCTGCCTTATCCCCATAATTTTTGATTCCTTAGCCTTGAATATACTTAATGACCCAGCCTCTACAGCCCTTTGTGGTAAAGATGTCAACAGATTCGCCACCACCTGAAAGAAGAAATTCTTTCTCATCTTTGTCCTAATTGGGAGAGCCCTTATTCTGAGATCGTGTCCTCTGATGCTGGACTCTCCACATCTACTCTGTCAAGGTCTCAATGAATCTCATATGTCTTGATAAGGTCTTCTCTCATTCTTCTCAACTCTAGTGTGTATAAACCCAATCTACTCAACATTACCTCACAAAAAGATCCCTCCATATTCAGAATCATCCAATGAACTTTCTTTAGAGAGCCTCCTTATATCTTTCCTTAGGTAAGGGGGCCAAAACTGTCCAGAATATACTAGCTGCAGTCTAAATAATGCTATATATAGCTTTAGCAAGACTTCCCTATTTTTATATTGCATTCCCTCTGAAATAAAGGCCAGCACTCCATTTGTCTTCCTTATTAACTGCTGAATCCAGATGCTAATGTTTTGTGATTCATAAGCGAGATTTGCCAGATCCTTCTGTGCCACAGCCTTCTGCAATCTTTCTCCATTGAAATAACTCTCAGCTTTCTATTCTTCTCACCAAAGTGCATGATTTCACATTTTCCCACAATATATTCTATCTACCAAGTTTTGGCCCACTCAATTAACCAGTTTTTCTCCCTCTGTGGACTTTTTGTGTTCTTACTACTTACCTTTCCATTGGTTTTGTGTCATCACAAACCTAAACTTGGCCAAAGTACATTCATTCCTTCCTCCAAGCCATTAATATAACTTGTAAATAATTGTGGCCCCAGCAGTGAACCCTGTGGCACTTCACCAGTTACAGGTTGCCTTTCTAAAAATAGCCCCCTTATCCCAAATCTTTTTCTTCTTTAGTTAGCCAATCCACTATCCATGTTAATTTAATATCCAAACAAGATAGACTCTTATCTTATTAAATAGCCTTATGAAAAGTATCTTATCAAGTGACTTCTTGAAATCCAAATGCATTGTTTCTACTGCTTTTCCATTATCTACCCTGCTTGTTATCTTCTCAAAGAATTCTGATAATTTTGTCAGGCATGATTTCCCTTTCACTAAACCATGCTGCCTGTAATTGCTTATATTAAGAATTGCTCTTAGCAACATCACACCCCAGTCTGATCCTTATTAAGTCCAAGAGGATTACAGATGATGCTCAGAAATATCAATGAACAGCTGGAATAATTTTCAGATATTAGCAGCAAATAATTTGCTAAATTAAGAATTCAGGTATTAATACATTAGAATTGAGATCTCACCCACCCAAACTGAGTAACTTCTTCAATAAGAGCTTAAAAACAACATTTGTATATGGAGAAAGAGCACTGTTTGTTTTTCAAATATCTTTATTTTACTTTTGCAGTCTTTGCAAAGACAACAGAGCAGTAATGTAGTGGGAAAACTGTTACACTGGAAAGAGGAACTTGAAAATGGTCAGTTGCTTTGTGTTGGTACTGGATCATGGGGCAGTACAAGTCATACAAGTCCTGTGAAAAAGTGATGGATTCAAATCCTGGCTTTAGCTTAAAGTGTGAGCATTGAAGGATGTTGTGACAAAAGACAAAGCAGGTCAAAGCTTACACAGTCCTGAGCCAGTAACTACAAAAGGTCAGTTAATAGGTCAGCTGAATTATATATGAGAGATTGTCTTGTTACAATCTTAACATTTTGAGCAAAGGAGAATGGAGAAGTAAATTCGAATAACAAAGCATTTGTATAATTTAGTTGAGTAAACCTTGAATGTGTTGCCAAACTATATAGCAGAAAAGTAATTTTAATGCAGATAAATGTAAAGTGTTTCAAATAAAAGAAAGAAGCAGTCATAGCTAAGAATAAAATTCAAAGAGATTTAGGATTGTTCAACGTGCCCAATTACTGTACAGAACAGCACCACAAGGCTGAACTGTATCATCAAGGTGTAAGTGCACAGGCCAGAGAATTGTAGCCTAAAATTCTATAATGCTTTGGTCAGATGAATGCATGGCTGTTATAAAAATAAAAGATGCTGGAAAAACCAGCTTATCTGGCAGCATCTGTGGGTAAAGAAACAGAGTTAGCCTTTCAGGTCTATAATCTTTCATCAGAACTGGAAAATGTTAAAGGTGTAACTGGTTTAAAGCAAGTGCAAAAGCTGAGAAAGGGAAGAACAAATGGGAAATTCTGTGCTAGGGTGCAAAGAGGAAGAAATTAAGTGAAAACGATGACGATGGTGCAAACGAAAAGCAGATGGCAACAGCACAAGGATATTATAAAGCTGGAGAGGGTTCAGAAAAGATTTACCAGGATGTTGCTGGGAATGGAGGGTTTGAATTATAATGAGAGGCTGGATAGGCTGGGACTTTTTTCACTGGAGGTTGAGAGGTGACCTTATAGATGTTTATAAAATAATACGGGGCATAGATAAGGTGAATGGCCTGCATCTTTTCCCTAGGGTGGGGGAATTGAAGACTAGGGGGCACATTTTTAAGGTGAGAGGAGAAATATTTAAAAAAGACATGAGGGGCAATTTTTTTTTACAGTGAGAGTAGTTTGTATGTGGAATGAACTTCCAGAAGCAGTGGTGGATTCTGGTATGGTTACTACATTTAAAAGACATTTAGTAGTACATGAGTAAGAAATGTTTGGAGGCATATGGGCCAAGCACGGGCAGGTGCGACTAGTTTATTTTGAGATTATAGTCGGCATGGATTGGTTGGACCCAAGGGTCTGTTTCCATGCTGTATGATTATATGACTGTATAAGTAAAGAAACAAAAGATGGATCAAGGGAAGGTGTAAACTGGAAAAACAGGATCACTAACAACTGCTGTCGGAAAAAGTGAAGGAAAAGCTCTGATTGGAAATTGTTGAACTTGCGTTAAGTTGAGAAAGCTGTAACCTTCCATATCAATAGATGAGGTGCTGTAAATTGTGCTTATGCTGTGTTTCATTGGAAGAAATGACAGAAATGTCAAAGTGGCAATGAGGGAAAGAATTAATGTAACAGATGTCTTGGGTTCTGAGGGGATGTTCTACAAAGCGGTCATCTCATCTGTGTTTGGTTTCCCCAGTGTAGGAGACCAAAATCTAGGATAAGTCATGTGTCAAGTAACTCCCTTGGTAGAAAACAATTGCAGTGTTGAGAGAACTGCCCAGATGAGGCAGAGTAGGCTTGTCTAGGTCAGCGCGCCTCAGTATTGCAGTTATTACATTGGAGGGGGGAGAGGAAGAAAAGGAATATTTTCACCCCTGGGGTGGTACTTAGTGGACGTGATTGATGTCTCAACTGCCAGCCAGTGAGAAACTCAAATCAACTTCTTTGTCAAAGGCCCACTCCATTACGTGCCACACAGGTGGTCAGTGGTGCACCTTTCGCAGAATCAATCACTGGGGCAGAGGTCCTGCCTGCCAAGACTGCCCGTCAACCAGAGAGGCTTCCAGTTCTATTCATTGGCAGTAGCAGCTAGTGATGCACCCATCCAAGGCCTGGGATTGTTGCTGGACTACCAGCCACAAGTGAGTGGGTATAGTAAAGGATCATGGGATGGGGATGATAGGGGAGGAAGGGTTTTTAATTCACTCATGGGATGTGGACATTGCTGCCTGGGCACGCTGACACCCAATTGCTTTTGAAAAGATGGTGTTGAGCTGTTGAAGGAGGGTCAGTAATCGGTCGCTGGGAAAGAAGCCTGTATAGCAAGCTTTCCATTCTCTGACAGCTGAATGAAATGCTTAAGGACCACAATTGGGAGTGGGCCTGGAAGACCACCGATGGCCCTTCCCATCACAGACTTTATTGCCACCCTCAATCTGATTAAATTCCCCTGAAACCAACCATGTCATTAGGGAAGGCATTAAATGCAATGCCTGGTCATTATTGAGTGCCTGCTGCACATGGTCATAGAGGACATCAAACACAGATAAGGGAAGTGTTCAACTGGGACACCTTCATGAGTGGATAGCATTTAAACATTGACTTGCTGGCTATCCAAATGCCAGAAGATGGCAGTAGCCACCAGGCTCTCCTGGAAGTATATCCAATTATGTAAATTGATTCATTATCTGAAAAGGCAAATTGTCTTGGGTCACAAGGAAAAGGGAGGGGATTAGCACCAGGTGAATTGCTCCTGCACAAGGCCAGTGTGGACATGATGAGTAAAATGGCCTCTTTCTGTGCTGTAATTATTCCATGGATCTATGACTCCATTTTTTTTTTATCTTTTCACTTGTGGGATATGGGCGTCGCTGGCTGGCCAGCATTTATTGCCTGGCCCTAATTGCCCTTGAGAAGGTGGTGGTGAGCTGCCTTCTTGAACTGCTGCAGTCCACTTGCTATGGGCTGACCCACAATGGCATTAGGGAGGGAATTCCAGGATTTTGACCCAACGACTGTAAGCCAGGAGAGAAACATAGGAGATGATAAAGTAGTCAGGAAGGGAGGTAGGGAGGAAAGGTAGAGGTTAAGAAAGGACAAACTCTTTCTTTTTGTATTACCTTTCACTTTCTTAAAGAAAAGCCTTATTTAAAAAAAATAAAGTTTGTTTGAAAGCATGAATGAATATGTAGTTTCATGTTGCAATCCTTATTTTTCTACACTTTCTCTTCTTTCATTCCTCACCGTTTCTATTACTATGGCAAACCACACATGAACAGAGGTGTGCTATAATCGGCAAGTAACCCACATCAACCTGAAAGAAGGCAAGTTGGAGGTCTGCAGCAATTCAGCTCCTTCAGAAATGTTTGATGCAGTTATTCTAACGATGCCTGTTCCACAAATTCTTCAGCTACAAGGACATATTGAGACTTGTGAGTACATTACCTTTTATGCAAATTTTTCTAGGACACTCCATCATCATCACTATTTCTGTCACCACCCCAGCCTTGACGTAATTTTAGTTCTTGTGAACTGCATGAATACTTGATGCATGGTTTCCATCATTCTCACTGTTATGCTCCATTAACTTCAGTCATTAAGGTTATATCAAATTGCAAATGACCTGAGTCAGTTAACGATGTACCTGATTATAATGCACACTGCAAGAAAAATTATAACAGATGCCTGTAAAGACAGTGTATGTGGGTGTGTGAGCGAGATGGAAGGACGTGAAAGAGAGAAGGCGATGAGACTGATAATAGCTAGAGTCAGTTAACCACATTGATGAAACCAAACCATATGACCGTTGAAAATCTATATCTGAGAATTGTGACATTTATAGCTTTCAAGATAAAACAAAGATTTAATTGTAATCACTTTTAATGTAACAATATTGGTCATTTCAATGACATATAATAATTCTCTTAAAATTGCCACTTATTGGAAGACCTATGCTAATGTCTATCCATCTTTCTGTTCATAAATACTGACCAGTACACAACAGCATAACCGAAGTTTATTATCATTCTCGCTTCCTTCAATGATCATTAATTCTTTTTCTGCATTATGGATGTGGGATCCTTTATTGGAGAAAAATTGAAACATTTATAATCATCTCTCTGTAGCAATGGCACAAATGATGCAGCACATTTTAATCAATCTTAGAAAGTGGCGTAATTGCTTCAGGACATTAATTTAGCACTTTTTCCCCAAACAGGACAAACCATTTCCACTGACCTCTCTTAAATAACAAACAGACAAACCGGTTTTCCTCTGTCTGTTGGATTGTTTGAATGTAACCAAATTTAAATGGTTAGGAGCATGAACTTATCAGACTTGTGGAGCTAGGTTTTATGTAACAGTCCTGTGATCAATAAAGAACTGTGCAGGGAACCATCGTGGGAAAAATACAAAATGAAGAAATATTTTTAGAACTGCACAGACAGTTCACAAAATTCAGTTTGCACAGTGTCCTTTTTTGACCTAACAAGTGCTATTTTTGTTCCAAGATGGTAGCTGCATGCACACTTTTTGATGGAATACCACATTATGTCGGGCATTAGCAGGACACCTGGGGTATGTAGTGGAAGTACGCAGAGTATACGATTAATACCATTGGTGCCATCTTTGCATTCATCTTTCCAAAGCTGCACAGCTGTATATGTGCTCAGCTGTAGGAAAGATCCTTCACCAATACTATTTAAAGGGATCAACAAATAGTTATCAGTTTCATTGCTGATTGATTTCTGTTGGATGTGCTGAGTTTGCAGAAGTTTGCACTGATAATTGAAGCTGCAGATGTCTACAGGGAGTGGTGAGACATGTGCTGGAGATCTTGGTCCTAACTTTAAGGTTTGTCGACAAAATATTTACTCCCAAATATGGGTATGGTTGTTCCTATCCTCCTTGGTTCACAGTTTGATAGGGAGCATGTGCAGAGCTGACGCCGATCAGGATGAGCTGCTTTAAAGAGGAGGAGGGAGGGAAAGGGCTTCCAGTGGGAGACAATGTCCACCAGGGATTTCAGGTGATAATTCTCCTGTCTCAGTTTCAGCAAGAAGCAAAGTCTAATGTTTCTGTTTCATGAAGGAATTGCTCACCACAATCCAGCAGCCGCTGTAGTCAGACACGCATCCTCAGAGTGGAGTGAAGGTAACAATTGCCAATGCTGGGGAGATGATTGTGGTCGTGAGTTTTCATGCATCTGACTTCTTCCAGGTGTGTTGTCTCTAGCTATTAGCATAGTAGCTGCTTATTGTCAGGGATGTCAGATCACATGGAACTGGAACCTGAGGGCGAAAGGCTCTAATGGAATTCTGCTAAAGTGTGTCTCAGTCAAAAGTATAAAGAGTTAAAATAAATGTTCATTATGTTGCACTAAAGAAGCATGGTTTCCAATTCTCATTTGTCAAAAGCATCTGTGCCCAATATTTATGGAGCATTTGGTATTCACATTTTGCAGTTTGAGCTCACTGTTGCATATGGGAAGTCACTGAGGCTTCATCTTCCAAGAGAGCCAAACATGTTCAATTCTCCCTTGGCAGAAAGAATTCGGTGGAGCAAGTGTTGAGCTTTGCAATGATTTTAGGTTTCTCCATGGTGCAGGGTGCTGCTGACGGCACAGAAGTCAGTTTGCCAGTCCCACATGTATTGCAAGCAGAAAAAAATTCCACTCCCTCTGTGGTCTTGGGCATGTGCAACCCTCTGCACTACATCAAGCTTGCTGGTGCCCAGTACTCTGGCAGCAATCATAATGAGTTTATTTAGTCTGATAATGCCATCCACATCTGACAAACTAGAATGTGGTAGTGCAATCCATAGGGGAAGACAATTTGAGAAGGTCTTTGGATGAACCGTTTTCAGAGCACTGGGCAGATGCAATGTAAAGTGTGTGACCCACTTTTGTTTTAGAGAAGCAGGACACTAGTGTTGCATATGGTCTAGCCAGATGTGGCAGTCAACCGCTAAAGCCATATCTTACCAAGTCTACAGAGGTAGGCTGAGAGAAAGCAATGGTTTTTATGAGGACTAGGGCATTAATGGTGGAGGTGAGAGTGAGGATGAGCAGATTGGTAGCTGCAGAAATGTGAATGGAGGGTCAAAGACTTGACAGTTTTGATGATGAGAGTGCAGTTATAAGTGATTTGGGGAGAATCTTTTTTCTCGGATTGACACAGAAGGAAACAGGTTAATAGAGGTGAAATGTGGCTGGAACACAATATTGGGGCACGTGGATGAAGAATGATTTATGGCATGGCCCACGTTGTTTACTGCATTGCTAATAACTTAATCTGTGGTGTTGAGAAGGAAAGTGGCTGAATATTATGCATTTTAAAAAAAGAGTAATGGGACAAAGGATTGGGATTGAAGGCTGATAGATGTTGTCAGCTCTCTGATCATAAAGGAGCAAAGTTTCAGTAGCATTTCAAATGACATGGTGTTACAGTGCTTGTCATCATGTACATACTGTAGAGAGGGGTCTCATGGAAAAGGACCGTTACTTCTCAGAACTGGAGTGGATTGGGGATGGGCTGATCTTTGTTTTGTTTTGGAATAATCTCATTCTTAACAATGAAATTGTGGACTTCTCTGATATTTGTAAACAAAATAGATCTGGGAAATGGCAAATCTATGTTGAAAATTAATTGATATCATGCCTTTAACTCTTTGAAAAGAATTGAGAATAAGCATTTCTTTTACTTTTTGTGTTTACTTGTGAATCTTTTTTTTTGAATCAAGTACTTTGTGCAAATCTTCCTCTATCTTCCATCTCAGGTGGATGTAAAAGATCTCCCTGTTGTCAATTTGAGAATGAGCAGGTTATATAAATGCAAATTCCTTCCTTCATTCTGCATATGTTAATAGGAAAATGACACAGTTGCTCACTGTATCATAAATTAACAATTTAGACAAATTGGTACCATAAATGTTCAAATTAATTGCTGCATTTATCTTTCTCTCCTGATCATGTTTCCCCAGATGAAAGCACTAGGCGTCAGTCAATGCCATTGTATCATTGACCATAAGGATGAGTGTAAGGATAGCCTAACATGACTGTTTCTCTGATTGTTCTATTCCTTGTTGATGCCACTGGGATTTTTCTCCCAGGGTGCTCGCATCCTGTGGGATGAACCTTTAATTCCTGTTGGATCCAGGACAATCCTGGAAGTTTGGAGCCCTACCTCAGTACATGGCTGAGGACAAAGGAGCTTTCTGTAGGAAATGAGGGTTTCTGCTCCACTGTACAGTATGTGTGCTTGAGCACTTGGACAGACACTCAATTCTGGGTTACTTATCTCTTACAAATATACTTCATGAACAGTTCCATTGCTGACATTTTCCTCCTGTAAGTATTTGTAGTAGCAGGAGTAGGTAAAATATATTCTGGTACTCAAATACACAATGTAGATCTGCATCTTAACTCCATCTTCCTGTCTTGATCTGTAACCCTTAATACTTGTGCATGTCAAAAATCTTATCCGTGTTGGTTTTGTAATTTTTAATTAACTTGGCAGCAACAGTTTTGGCAATAAGAGTCCCAGACAACCACTTTTCTTTGTGCAAATTAGAAGTTCTGGACAACATCCCTGAACAGCCTTGATCTAACTCTCGGGTTAGGTCCTAATGTTTTTGCATCCCCAAAAAATCATATAGTTTCTCTCTATCCATCCTACCTACTCCTTTAATCATTTTGAACTCCTCAAATGGAGCAACCACTGATCTGCTGTATTGAAGGGAATATAAATCCAGTGAATCCAACCTGTCCACATAATGTAATCATTTTACCCTGAGTGTCGCAAGGAGAAAAACACAGCACTGGCTATGTGGAAATCTCTGATAATAAACTGGGAATTCTCCCCCTGGTTATGGCAGCACATTTCATCCACAAATCCCAACTAACACCTTTAGATGGGAAAATGAAACAAATTTGCAAGTTATTTCTCAGGCAAACGGAGTGGCCACTGTCAAAAAGACGGATATTAGCTAGCAATGCCTCCACATTGCTAGCTATGCCACGGGGAATTCCAGCTTTTTGCAATGTACCACGCCTGCTCTCCATTTTGTGCTTTTAGGAGGTCATGGTGCAAACAGGCTGCAAAGAAATATCGCCCTATCTAAATTGCCATCCTCTCCTATCAGTATAAATAAACATTTATTATAGGTTGGCAATTGTGAGCCAGCCAAAATTTTCATTATAGCAATGCTCGCTTTGTAACTCAGGAAACTGAACTTGGCTCGAGGTGCACTATTGTGTTCACTAGCAATCATTTCTGGGCATACACCTTATGATTTATATTGTTGGGTGTCCGACAGTTGCCAATCACTCGGTGTTAAAATTATTTACAATCTGTAACAAGATTTTTTTAAAATGACTTTTTATTTTAAAGTGTGTTTTAAAATCGTTTCGAGCCTAAAAATTTATAACTGATGT